CACGGGTCCAGGGCATAATTTGCGACTTTTGGACCATTTGTCTTGTAAGGGCTTTATGCCCCTTTGTTTTAAAACTTGGTCACTTTTGGGCCAAGTAAACTTTGTAAGGGTTTATGCCCTTCTTTCTTGATGATGGTATACAATTTTGCTTTTTTAATAATAATAATAATAATAATAATAATAATAATAATAATAATAATAATAATTTAACAATCGTTACATGACATAATTTTGTACTCACAACTACTTGGGAAGATTTAAGGTTAAATGTGGAACACTTGAAAAAGCAAATTTGTCTATTTATAGACATAATTTTTGCCGAGATTTTGATGTTGTCACGTCTATAGAAAGGAGAGGAGAGATAAAAAGATGAGAAAAAGAAGAAAAAGATGGTATTAACTCGCCCAAAGAGGGCATGCGAAAGGCGTGTCCGATGCGTGTAACACGCACTTGGATTCGTATTTTTGAAAATTTTTTTAAGGTGGTGCCAAAAAAAAAAACTTATTTTATTACAAATTCTCTCTCTCTCTCAACTCCCCTCAAACTCACCATCTCTCCTTCATCAAAGAAAACAAAAACAAAAACAACAAAAAAAAAAAACAAAACAAAACAAAACAAAAAACAAAAACCCAAAACCATAGTTTATGATACTCTAGCTTCACAAATTGCTGGATCAAAGGCTTAGTATAATCAATAGCATTTTGCTCAACACCTTCCCTAATTGATGATGAGCTAGGCTTCCTTTCTAATCCTAAACAATTATCATTATGAGAACTAGTGCTCCTGTAAGAGGTGCTTACCCTTGAAGAAACAAAATTCAAAATAAGAATTACTGCAGAAACTCGAGTTGAGTAGTGTTGCTTTTTAGGTTTATGGTCACCATTTAAAATGTAGAGTGAAAGGCAATTTGTTCGTGTGAAACATTTGATACATTTTCAAGTAGTGCGAATCATTTGGTTTTGGGGAATTTGGGGCACATGAGATTTGGTTAGTTGGGATTCCTATACCTATTTGATTGATTGACAAATAGGTACAAGTCTGCTATTGTGCATTTTAAATGAAGTCATACCTTCTACTTGGTGAGTCTTAAAATGATGTAAAAGATATATTTAGAGAATTTGAATGAATTGGCTTGCATACTTGACAAATTACTGGTCCTCCAATCATGCAATAATAACGACATTTTTTTTTTTTTACTATCGTAACTTGACATAATTGTGTACTTACAAGTCACAACTACTTGGGAAGATTTATTGTTCAATGTGGAACTAGAATAAGCAAAACTGCATATTTATAGACATAAGATTTTGCCAGATTTTGTTGTTGTGACATATATATATATATATATATATATATATATATATATATATATATATATATAATAAGAGGAGAGTGAAAAAGAGGGGAAAAAAGAAGAAAAATATGGTATTACCTCACCCAAAGGGGGCGTGCGCTGGGCGTGTCCGATGCGTGTAATGCGCACTAGGAAGTATATTTTTGTGTTTTTTTCAAGGTGGCGCACAAAAGAACTTATTTTGATCACATACTCGACAAACTATTGGTCTCCAATCACGCAACCATTGAGAATTAAATTCAATGGTTGACTTGCCACCGCCGGGTGTAAAGTTAAAAGTTTGACCGCTACCGTCGTTTGACATAATAGTGTACTCAATAAATGGAAGCCCTAGAGAGGATTTATTTTTTTTTTTGGTAGGGGGAAGGGGCCAAGGACCCCGGGGATTAATGAAACCTTCTAAAAGCTACATTATTAGCATCACGGATGAGCAACGGCGGAAGATCATCAGGCGGTTGAGGAAGAATAGTCGTGCCCCATGGAGAGATTTGTCCTAAGTTTGCAAGAAAGTCAGCGCACTGATTGCCTTCCCTAAGAGTGTGTTTGAAGTTGAGAACATGGAAGCTGTGTGTTTGAAGTTGAGAACAGGGAAGCCGCGCATAAGGTCAATACAATCCAGAATGAGAGTATCTGCTTCCGGAGATGCCCTAGAAAGGATTTATGGTTCGGTGTGAGATTTTTGAACGGGTAGACATCGTATTTATATACATATAGGAGTGAAAGTGTGTAGGGCCCATTAAATTTATTTATCATTATTATATAATAGAAAATAGTTAAAATACTAATAAAGCATAAAACTCTCCTTCCATGTTTTGGTTTTAATAAAGGAAAAAGGAAAATAATTTAAAAAAATTGTTATAATTATATTCTGTTTTTTTTTTAAAAAAAAATTAATTATATTCTTTTTGATCAGTCAAAGTGTACTGCATTAAGAAATGGTGAAAAAAAAAAGAATAAAAAATAAAAAATAAATGTAATATTACTCTTATATAATTATCATAATTCTCATAACCTAATGGGGTAGCTCAAGTGACAAATAAGCTCTCGTTGTAATGGAGAATTTTGGGATAACCTGAGTTCGGGTGAATCTGGACCGTTAAATGGATTGAGAAAGACCCGAGGTTTACACACACAAAAAAAAAAAAAAAAAAATAAAAATCATAATTCACATAATCTATTTCTTTTGACTCGATTATGTGGAAATATGTGCGCCATTAAATAGCTGATTAATTGCTTGCATTAATATAGTATTTTATTAAAGAGTAGATCCATCAAAATTGATAAGAAATTTATTACTTTCTTCTTTTGGAATTAACAAGTATTAATTTGATATCTAAAAGATTTTAAAATTTAATTTGTTATCATATTGACATATTGCCAATCAGGGCAACCACATAAATTCATCTGCAAAATAAGAAATAGAATAATATTTTCACCAAAGTAAGTTTACTTAATTTATAAATTTATTTTTATTACACTACTGGAAATTATGGAATTTCCGACCACCTGAAAGTGATCTTAAGGCTGACCTTACCCCTGCAAGTATACCCATTTGCAATCTTATTTGGCATGCCACATGGAATTATTTTTTATTTTTATTTTTTTTTTGTTATATGATGTGTAATGCAAACTTGCATCTTTTGCAAGTTTGCAAAGTACAAAGAAGGCTGCCGAATGGCAGCCTTCTTTGTACTTTAGTATTGCAAGGCAGCCATGCTGCCTGCAAATATGTACTTTTCTTTACTTTTTTATTTTTTTTTATTTTTTTATTTATATATATATAATATAAAATAAAGGTGGGACCCATTTTTTAGAGTAAGAGAGATTTGTAGGGATGTAGTGTGAATAGGAGATGATTTGCAAATAAGATGATGTGGAAGTGGGACCCATTTTTGAGAGTGGGAGATGTTTGCAGGGATAAGGACAGCCTAAATCAAATTGATACCAAAAAGTGGTTGGAAATAGCAACAAAGGTTTTTCCGGATACCAAAAGTGGTCGGAACAAGACTTTCGACTTGATTTAATATCACTTTCAGATGGTCGGAAATTTCATAATTTCCAGTAGTGTTATGGGAAATACATTATCCCCTTTACAATACAATAGCCATTTGCAAAGGGACCGTGATATTATTAGTTATTCATTGTGTGACAAGAATAGTCTATTTTCTTATTTCAAAATAATGAAAAAATATTTTTTCAACTAATTTAAAAATTGGGTCTGAAAATATAGTCAGATCATAATGTAATTAATAAAATCCAAATTATTCATATTGGATGTAATTTAAGCGTGGATCACTGGAATTGGAAAGTCATATGGCAGTGAAATATTTAATTCTATAAATTACATTAAATAGTATTCTTAACCGATATCCGCTACCAATAAAAAGTAATATAATCTTTGACTTTTCATATATAAAATATAAGGAAATGTTACAAATTCCTAATATCCTATTACCCAAAATAATAATAATAATAATAATAATAATAATAATAATAATAATAATAATAATAATAATAATAATAATAATAATAATAATAATAATAATAATAATAATAATAATAATAATACGGAGTAATAATAAGTTGTCGGTAGGTAGTTGATTTGCATCAAAACTTAGTTTTCTTACATATTTTCCTACGTCAAAGGGAACCCTGAAATTGTTGCCTCATTAAATATTAATTGATTCTGACCACAACTGTCGTGTGAAAACCAATTTGTTCATACGAAACATTTGATACATTTCCTTGTAGTGCAGGACAATTCATTTGGTTTTGGGGAATTTGGGGTGCGAGATTTGATTAGTTGGGAATCCTATACCTATTCGATTGATTGACCAATAGGTACAAGTATGATATTGTGCATTTGAAAGGAAATCATACCTTCAACTTGGTGAGTCTTAAAATGATGTAAAAGATATATTTATAGAATTTGAACAAATTTGATTGCATACTCGAAAAATTATTGGTCTCCAAACAAGCAATAATGACAAATAATAATAATAATAATAATAATAATAATAATAATAATAATAATAATAATAATAATAATAATAATAATTTAACTATCGCTACATGACATAATTTTGTACTCACAACAACTTGGGAAGATTTAAAGTTTAATGTGGAACACTTGAAAAAGCAAAGTTGCATATTTATAGACATAATTTTTGCCAAAATTTTGATTTTGTCACATCTATAGAAAGGAGAGGAGAGACAAAAATAGGGAGGAAAAGAAGAAAAAGATGGTATTAACTCGCTTAAAGGGGGCGTGCGAAAGGCGTGTCCGGTGCGTGTTTCACGCACTTGTATACGTATTTTTAAAAAAAAAATTTTAAGGTGGTGCCCAATAAAAAAAAAAAAACTTATTTTATTGCAAATTCTCTCTCTCTCCCTCTCTCCCTCCCTCCCCTCAAACTCACCATCTCTCCTCCATCAAAGAAAAAAAACAAAACAAAACAAAACAAAAAAACAAAAAACAAAAAAAAAAACAAAACAAAAAAACAAAACAAAACAAAACAAAAAACAAAAAACAAAAACCGAAAACATAGTTTATGATACTCTAGCTTGATCAAGTGTAGACCTTTACCAAAATTAGACTGTAATGGATTTCAAAATACAAAAATCATACAGAAAACATAAACAACACTTGGAAAAACAAACTTAGAAGTCTTTTCTCTCTTGCAACTACAAATGATCCAGCAGCAACAAAATCATCATAAGCAACCTGAGATAAACATTTCATCAATTAAACTTGAAATGCACCACCATCCATCAAAAGCACCCAGCATACATGTTAGGGATATTCATGTTCTGACCAAAACCAATCACCTTTCAAATTGTTTTAGATACCTATGCATTTTACAAAATGACTAGAAAAGGAATGCCTTTATGTTTAAGTAGGGGTGTTCGAATTATTCTGCACTGTAATCAACGAACACGACACAAAAGTCATCTACAATCAATGCTTTAATGTTAAAACTTTGTCTAGTATACATTTACTACAATTTTTTAAACATCTGACCTGATTTCTAAGCTCCATGATCCTTGGTTCTTTTTCTAGATTTTCCCCTGTACAAGATGAGAGTTTAAAATGCATCTGTATATAGCATTTTTAAAAGAAATAGTTTCATGACAAAACTGGCCAAGAACTTACTAGCAAGCTGCAAAGTTTCATTACGAAGCTCATCCCTTGTTGTCATATATATATATATATATATATATATATATATATATATATATATATATATATATATAAAGGGAGATGAGAGAGAAAAAGAGGGGGTAAAATAAGAAAAAGATGGTATTAACTCGCCTAAAGGGGGCGTGCGTTGGGCGTGTAATAATCACATACTCGACAAACTATTGGCCTCCCATCACGCAATGATTGAGTATTAAATTCAATGGTTGGCTTGCTGCTGCCGGGTGTAAAGTACTATTGGCCTCCCATCACGCAACGATTGAGTATTAAATTCAATGGTTGACTTGCTGCTGCCGGGTGTAAAGTACTATTGGTCTCCCATCACGCAACGATTGAGTATTAAATTCAATGGTTGACTTGCTGCTGCCGGGTGTAAAGTTAAAAGTTTGACCACTATCGTCGTTTGACATAATAGTGTATTCAAGAAATGGAAGCACTGGAGAAGATTTAAGGTTTGGTGTGAGACAACGGGAAGACGTCATATTTATATACATATACAAGTGAAAGTGTGTAGGCCCCAGTAAACTTATCTATCATTATTATATAATAGAAAATAGTTAAAACACTAATAAAGCATAAAACTCTCGATCCATGTTTTGGGTTTAATAAAGGAAAAAGGAAAAGAATTAAAAAAAATTATAATTATATTCTTTTTGATCCGTAAAAGTGTACTGCATTAAGAAATGGTGAAAAAAAATAAAAATTCAAAATAAATGTAATATTACTCTTATATCTATCTATTATCTACTATACTAATACGAGTCCAAGAGAATTAGTCCTATAATGGGAGACATTAAGTGTATGCCAGATTTTGTTGTTGTTACATATATATAAGGGAGAGGAGAGAGAAAGAGAGGGGGGAAAATAAGAAAAAGATGGTATTAACTCGCCCAAAGGGGGCGTGCACTGGGCGTGTCCAATGCGTGTAATAATCACATACTCGACAAACTATTGGCCTCCGATCACGCAACCATTGAGTATTAAATTCAATGGTTGACTTGCTGCTGCCGGGTGTAAAGTTAAAAGTTTGACCACTACCGTCGTTTGACATAATAGTGTACTCAAGAAATAGAAGCACTAGAGAGGATTTAAGGTTTGGTGTGAGACAATTGAACGGGTAGACGTCATATTTATATACATATACAAATGAAAGTGTGTAGGGCCCAATAAATTTATCTATCATTATTATATAATAGAAAATAGTTAAAATACTAATAAAGCATAAAACTCTCCATCCATGTTTTGGTTTTAATAAAGGAAAAAGGAAAAGAATTTAGAAAAAAAAAATATAATTATATTCTTTTTTATCCGTCAAAGTGTACTGCATTAGGAAATGGTGATAAAAAATAAAAATTCAAAATAAATATAATATTACTCTTATATCTATATATTATCTAACATACTAACAAGAGCCCAAGAGAGTTAGGCCTATAATGGGAGACATTAAGTGTTTGCCAGATTTTGTTGTTGTCACATATATATATATATATATAAGGGAGAGGAGAGAGAAAAAGAGGGGGGGGAAATAAGAAAAAGATGGTATTAACTCGCCCAAAGGGGGCGTGCGCTGGGCGTGTCCAGTGCGTGTAATAATCATATACTCGACAAACTATTGGCCTCCGATCCCGCAACCATTGAGTATTAAATTCAATAGTTGATTTGCTACTGCCGGAGTGTAAAGTTAAAAGTTTGATCACTACCGTCGTTTGACATAATAGTGTACTCAAGAAATGGAAGCACTAGAGAGGATTTAATGTTTGGTGTGAGACACTTGAACGGGTAGACGTCATATTTATATGCATATACAAGTGAAAGTGTGTAGGGCCCAATAAATTTATCTATCATTATTATATAATAAAAAATAGTTAAAATACTAATAAAGCATAAAACTCACGTTCCATGTTTTGGTTTTAATAAAGGAAAAAGAATTTGGAAAAAAAAAATTATAATTATATTCTTTTTGATCCGTCAAATTGGTACTGCATTAAGAAATGGTGAAAAAAAATCAAAATAAATGTAATATTACTCTTATATCTATCTATTTTCTACCATACTAATAAGAGCCCAAGAGAGTTAGACCTATAATGGGAGACATTAAGTGTTTGTCAGATTTTGTTGTTGTCACATATATATAAGGGAGAGGAGAGAGAAAAAGATGGGGGGAAATAAGAAAAAGATGGTATGAACTCGCCCAAAGGGGGCGTGCGCTGGGCGTGTCCAGTGCGTGTAATAATCATATACTCGACAAACTATTGGCCTCCGATCCCGCAACCATTGAGTATTAAATTCAATGGTTGATTTGCTGCTGTCGGGTGTAAAGTTAAAAGTTTGACCACTACCATCATTTGACATAATAGTGTACTCAAGAAATGGAAGCACTAGAGAGGAATTAAGGTTTGGCATGAGACACTAGAACGGGTAGACGTCATATTTATATACACATACAAGTGAAAGTGTGTAGGGCCCAATAAATTTATCTATCATTATTATATAATAGAAAATAGTTAAAATACTAATAAAGCTTAAAACTCGCGTTCCATGTTTTGGTTTTAATAAAGATAAAGGAAAAGAATTTAGATAAAAAAAAATTATAATTATATTCTTTTTGATCCGTCAAAGTGTACTGCATTATGAAATGGTGATAAAAAAATAAATATTCAAAATAAATATAATATTACTCTTATATCTATCTATTATCTACAATACTAATAAGAGCCCAAAAGAGTTAGATCTATAATGGGAGACATTAAGTGTTTGCCAGATTTTGTTGTTGTCACATATATATAAGGGAGAGGAGAGAGAAAAAGAGGGGGAGAAATAAGAAAAAGATGGTATGAACTCGCCCAAAGGGGGCGTGCGCTGGGCGTGTCCAGTGCGTGTAATAATCATATACTCGACAAACTATTGGCCTCCGATCTCACAACCATTGAGTATTAAATTCAATGGTTGATTTGCTGCTGCCGGGTGTAAAGTTAAAAGTTTGATCACTACCTTCGTTTGACATAATAGTGTACTCAAGAAATGGAAGCACTAGAGAGGATTTAAGGTTTGGTGTGAGACACTTGAACGGGTAGACGTCATATTTATATACATATACAAGTGAAAATGTGTAGGGCCCAATAAATTTATCTATCATTATTATATAATAGAAAATAGTTAAAATACTAATAAAGCATAAAACTCGCGTTCCATGTTTTGGTTTTAATAAAGGAAAAAGAATTTAGAAAAAAAATTATAATTATATTCTTTTTGATCCGTCAAAGTGTACTCTATTAAGAAATGATGAAAAAAATTCAAAATAAATGTAATATTACTCTTATATCTATCTATTATCTATCTACTATACTTATTAGAGCCAAGAGATTTAAGCCTATAATGGGTAGAAAAAATGTTGGTCAAATTTTTTAATCAAATGAATGACTCAGATTGATTTGATTTTAATTTTTCCTTAAAGATTTCCTAATTTATCCTTAATGAATATGATTATCCGTTAACTTTCCCGTTAAATATTATATTTTCCGTTAATTTTTGTTAGTTCACCGTTAACTTACTCATTGATTTCAATAAGAAAGGTCTTACGTTCGAACCTCATCCCAATCAAAGTTGGCATAATTAGTACTCTATTTTACTCTTATTAAATTAAAATAATAATAATAATAATAATAATAATAATAATAATAATAATAATAATAATAATTTAGTAGCTACAACAAAAAATAATACATATGGATTTCTTTAATTTAGAATTATATTTCTACAATGTCTTTATTCAAAAAAAATTATTCATTATCAATAAATTAAATAAGAGAAATAATTTCATTAGTTATATTGTATTTATTTTTCTCCAATATAAAAATTATTTACATTCAAATTCATCAATTGATTATATTCGCTACATTGTCCCTACAATTTCTTTATTCAAAAAAAAAATATTCATTATCAATAAATTAATCAAGAGAAATAATTTTATTTGTTATATTGTCTTTATATTTCTCTAATGTAAAAATTCTTTACATTCAAATTCATCAATTAATTATATTCACTACATTGTTTATTATCTTTTTTGTGAACTATTTTTTAATTAAATATCAAAGTTATAATACAAAGTAATGCTATATATTTATTTACCAAGTATTTTATTAAGAGTTAATTCCAGCAATAGTCCTCCGACTATAGTGATTTTCCAAAATTAGTCCTCGACTTTTAATTTGGACACTTTAGGTCCCTTGACTTTCAATTTATTTCCAATTGAGGTCCTTTCGTTAGAATACGGTTCATTAGACTTTAAATGAAGGGGTAAACTCGTCCTTTCACATGCCTATGTATTATTCTTCGTATTTCTCCCTTCGTATTTCGCTGTTATACCTTGTAAACATCTCAATAATAGAGAAACGCACACACGAGTAGTCAGCAAATGGAGAACGACGAGGAACATTTTAGGGTTTCGACTAAGATTATCTTCATATATATCGCGTATACAATGGAGAAATATTAAGAATAATACATAGGCAGGTGAAATGATGAGTTTACCCCTTCATTTAAAATTCAATTAACCGTATTCTGACGAAAGGACCTCAATTGGAAAGAAATTGAAAGTCAAGGGACCTAAAGTGTCCAAATTAAAAGTCAAGGACTAATTTTGGAAAATCAATATAGTCAGAGGACCATTGTTGGAATTAACTCATTTTATTAATACCATGAAAAAATTAAAAAATATAATTAATAAAGCCAATCACATTAACTACTTGAGGGATTTGTTGACAAAGAGAGTATTCAAATCACACAACAAATTGAAATGAGAAATACCTCGCAATGTCCTTGTTTGACAATCAGCAGTTAGCGTCGGATTATATTAGCGAATTTGACCAGCGAATTATATCAACGGTTGGTAAAAAGATATTTGAAAAAATTAGTTGTTTAGATTAACATGTAAAATGACCTAAGGGTATAAATATATTTAATAATAATAATAATAATAATAATAATAATAATAATAATAATAATAATAATAATAATAATAATAATAATAATAATAATAATAATAATAATAATTGTTTTAAAAAATAAAAAAATATAATCAAAACAATCATATTTACTTGGGGGATTTATTGACAAAAAGAGTATTCAAATCACACAACAAATTGAAGTGGGAAACTATCTCGCAATGTCCTTGTTTGGCAATCAGCAGTTCGCTCTTCAATATTAGTATATATTTAATATTTTATGCCCTAATTTTTATTTACTCTCCCTTATGTCCCGTATTTGGTTTCAATAACCATACCTATACAATTATTTTATTGACAATTATAATCAAACTTGACTATATTATCTTGCATTTGTAAACTTAGAATTGTCTATTTAAATACGCAAATTTAACATTCAATTATCTATGCATGAACAATTCCAATATAATCTTGCCTTGATATACTTTAAAGTACTTATTTAAAAAAAAAAAAAAAAAATTGGACATTATCCCAATCGCGTAAAAAAACTAGTTATACATTATTATTATTATTATTATTATTATACAAATCTAATAAGAGCGAATAATGTTAGGCCCTTAACTGGAACAAAAAAAATGTCGGTACTAATTGTTTCTTAAAATAAATAGTTCATATTATTTTGATTTTAGTATCTTTTAATGATTTTCCTTATTTACCCTCTATTATATTATTTTCTTCCCTTAAATAACCCTCTTGTTATTTAAGGAGTCAAAATAACTATACAGTAAATTTTTTTTTTAAAAAAAATATAGTGGTATTTTGGAGAAATCATTCTGACAAACGTAAAGTGAAAATATTGTAAATTGTAATGTTTGTAATTTCAGTGGTTTGGAACAAATTGTTGCTTCAAACTATTGAATAACCAAACACTTTCTTTAGCATTTTGATCTTTGAGTTACATCATATTTACCAATCGTCCAATATCTTTGGGTTACATTATTATTAAAATTTTAAAATTTTTAAGTACTACATCTAAATTCTTTAAATTAGTAATGTCTTTATCCATAATAATTTATTCAACAATAATGGTTGAACTAAATGAACACTGAGCAAAACACCTAAAGAACGGGTACCGTTGATTCATTCATTGATCTTGTATATATGTGCATTCATTAAATATATTAGAACCCTTTGCAACAAAAATACTTGGCTACTATTTACAAAAAGTTTAGTAACAATTAAAATAAATCTCTTATATAAGTTATATTACATTGTATTCATATAATATGAGTTACATATTTAAATAAACAAATTCGTCATTAAATTACTTATGTATATGAACTTCTCATATATAATCTTACATTGATATACTTTCAAATATTTATTTAATTATAATATCAATTTAATAATTTTAAAAAAAAAAAAAAAAAAAAAAAAAAAAAAAAAAAACACGGAGTCCAGACTACCTTCAGAGTTATTATTGTTATTATCAAGTAAACAAGAGTTATTATTGTTATTATCAAGTAAACAAGTTATGAAAATAAAACAAGAGGTACTATTCAATACTTTCACGTGAAACATGTAGGGAAAAAAACTACCACTGCAAAATATCAACTGACGCTTGCAAGATCAAGAGTTCATAGTACAACTAAGATCCCAGTCATATACACAACAAGGAAAATTCATAACTTCCTACACCATAATCTCATTGCATGACGTTGTCATCTATGCTACCAACAGTAACCCAATTGCAAATAACACACTACCAAAAGAGAATGACAAATAGTGAAGATGATGAAGACAATGACAATGCTACTCAAAAGAGAATTAAGAATACCTAAAAAAATTCAAACCAAAAACTAATACTCCGTATTTATTTAGACTACCATTTTTATACTAAATAGTTAGACTATCGACTTTATAAAGTTACAAACATTTATTTTAGTGACAATTATAATGAATCTCCTATATTATCTTGTATTCATATACTTTGAGTTACATTCAATTACTTATGTATGAACTTCTCATATATAATCTTGAATTGATATACATTCAAATACTTATTTAATTATAAACATTGACATTAACTCATTCGCGCAATGCGCGTGTAAAACTAATATATATATATATATATATATATATATATATATATATATATATATATATATATATATATATATATATATATATATATATACATAAGGCCAAATTCATGTGCGGTCACACCCTTAGGTATGCAAACATGCACCAATAGTGTTTGGAAACGCACAACAACAAAATGCACCAATGCACCAAAAAATACATCATTAAGTACGCATCACCACAAAACGCACTATTAAATATTTAAATATACATAAACACACCACACTATTCGAAAACGCACAATTAGGTATGAGAAGGTATGATGCAATTTGTTTGGGTGTGTAGTGCATTGGATGCATTGGTACATTTCATTGTTATGCCTATAATTATCATTTTTCAAGTACAAATTCTAACCTAATAAAGGAAAAGAGCCTCTAATTATTTTTGCCTGAAAAATATTATTCTTAAGGTGAATTAGCATGTGAAAAGGGGCTTGAAACAAGTCAAATCTTCTGTGAACTGTGTTTAAAATTGACTAGAGCTATAATAACAAGTTAAATATAAACACAATATTTAAAAGAACCTTATTACTTGCGCAACAGATTACATAAAAATTGCTAAAATAAGGTAATAGTCCCAAATGCACAATCAAGTACCCTTCAGTGAGATACTTCATCCATTTTGGAGATTTTACAAGGAAGTTAATGGCAAGAATTCTAGGCAGATACAAATGGTAGGAAATCCAAATTCAACGATTTTATCGGTGAGCAAAAAACACCGCTATGTGCATGTAAGGGTAGGGGGAACAATTTTGACGAAGAGATAAGATTGCTTAGTTACCACAAACAGAGCTCCGAGTGTGCTTATTTTCTTCTTCCTGTGCCAATAGCCAGAAGCTCAAAACTTCTAAGTGCCTCGTCCTGCCCGCCACCTTTAGTGGCAGCATTACGCGTGATAGACGATGATTTGGACTCGTATCCAGGCTGCACTCTTTGGGCGGAGGACAAGTGCCCACTACTTGAACTCAGCCTCAGAGTTCGATTTTCGGTGGGTTCAGTGGAGCTCGGCTTGCTGCTTGACGCTACAGCCTTCCTTGAGGAGCTACCAGCCCGAGACCCACGCCATTTTTCAGCATCAGCTTGCTGAAGATATCGAAAGGAAGAATAAAAGGGAATACATCAATCTATTTGCACTTTTGCAGCAGTGTTGTAAAAAATCGGCCTAGGCAGCCGAGGGGATTTAACCCTTAGGCAGATATTAGTCTACTGGCCAATTACTAGGCGGCCTAGGCACCCGAGTCGGCCAACTCGGCACCCGAGTCGGCCAACTCGGCACCCGAGTCGGCCAACTCGGCACCTGAGTCGGCCAAACTCGGCACCCAAGTTGGCCAAACTCGGCAACCAACTCGGCCGAGTGTTTTTTTTTTTTTTGGGTGTGCAATGTATATACACTGATGTGTTTTTCTTATTATTATTACTCACCTGCCTAGGCGGCGCTTTAAGCGCTAGGCGCCCCCTGGGCACCCAACTAGCGCATTCATTTGCAGGAATAATTGCATGGATATTAGAAATAAAAAATTAAAAGATTATAACCAGCTTGGTTGGCGTGAATGGCCGTGCACTCTTGTCCCTTAAGAGAGGTAGATTGTTCGAACCCTCTCTCGTATGGAAAAACCAACCTGGCCAGCACTTTGCCCCTTAATTGGGCCAACCAAGTGCAAACAGGGATTAGTCTAAGTATGGTACGGGCTTAAAGGGTGCTTCCTACAGTTAGGGCCTGCTTAGGACTTTGCCCCTTAATTGGGCCAGTCCAGTGCAAACAGGGATTAGTCTAAGTATGGTACGGGCTTAAAGGGTGCCTCCTACAATTATGGCCTGCTCAGGACACCTTGTGGTCTGACCAAAAAAAATATATGCTAACTTCTTGTCCACTCACCGTGTCTTTGGATAATGTCATATCTGCCGCTGCTGACCTGTGCCTTGAATGCTCACCATGCAAACCAGTACCAGAATGATTCCTTCGAACAAATGTCTCCAAAGCACCAGAAGACCTATCTCGAACTTCCTGCTTCACTGTAGGATAAAAACATATAAGAAAAATCCTAAAGAATCCTTCCATGGCTTCTATACAGATTTGCACGCAATTCCCAGTTGTTATTATGTAACTAATAACGTAGCACAAATTTGAATCACATAGATTGCACAAGAGCTTCTTCCAAACAAAAGGCTATCTGAGAAAAGAGCACCTGGAGTCTTTTCCGCTCTCTCAACAGATGGTCCTGGGTTCAAAGGCAATCGTGCAGTTTGTTGCTGAAAAACAAGTAGCAATATAAGAAACAGACTATATAAATACGCAGAAAGAGCCACACTACCACTATACCAAATGAAGACATACTCGCCCTCTAGAATTGGAACCAATGTGCGGGTACTTCAAGATAGTCCAGTCAAATACATAGTCGAATTGATAGCCTGCACCCAAGTACAGTAACCCCTTAAATAATAATGATATCAAGGGGATTCAAGGGTAACGATACTCCTAGGGAAATTTCGAAACACACAAACATTAAGATTTCATGCAAAACTTGGGTCTTTTATTTAAAGAGCAAACTCACCTTCTCTAATGAAGAGGTCACGGAACAGTCTCTTCAGGTATGAGTAGTCCGGCTTGTCCTCGAACCTCAAAGATCGGCAATAATGAAAATACGACATGAATTCTGATGGGTAAGATTTGCAAAGCACCTGTATACAGTTTTCACTCAACAATACTGATTTAGCAAAGCAATATAAATCAAGAATACAATTAAGGACATTCACATCACAAAGCATTGTCATATCAAAGAACCATAGTACCTCAATAGGTGTAAGCATTTTCTTCTCAGCTATCTTGTCATATTTCTGCTTCTTTGTGCCAGCTTTCAGTCCTTGCCAGGGAAGGCTTCAGTCAGAGTGATTAAAACAGTGTGAGATATTTGCACGGTAAAGCATAATAAATATACAAAAGAGAAGCAAAAATGAATAGCACTTGTGACAAACCTTCCCCTCAAGAAATACATTAGTACATAGCCAACAGACTCGAGATCATCTCTTCTGCTTTGCTCTGCAAGAATTTATTCATTTTTATGTGAAAAAAAAAAAATGGCATTACACTTATTACATAATAATGGAATGCCACCTAATAGAACACGTGGCCAAAATGATATTTTCACCCACCAATTCCACGATGGGTGTTAACACTTGCGTAACGAGCTGTGCCAGTAAGGTTCTTGTTATCCCTGTAAAAGGACCAAATGATTATCCAAAAAATCAGAATTGGACCCTAGGCCCTACGGTTACAGAATTTCAAGAAAAATGAAAAGAGTAGGACAGGGGAAGGGTGATTGCATAGCATAAATCACAGCTTGGCAGCACATGGACAGCTATCATCATTGGTAAAATAATAAGGTCATCTAGAAGTGTCATGGATGAATCAAGAGGAGCGCATAAGCTGATAAGCCACCCTAACTTTTATTTTTAAAAATAATAATAAATAAAAATAAAAATAGAAAACAACAATAACCGTCCCATAGTGCCTACATGTTAGAGAAAAAAATTAAGTCCATTGTACTAGCCGTCTAGCCCTCCAATGGCTTGACGGTGCAGTCGAGGAATTTTGCACAACTTCAAATGGGAATCAAGAATTTTGGGGTTTTTTAGAGAAAGCATTTTGACATTTGCAGTGATATCTTGCAATATTGGCAAATTTTACATCATTAACCACAAAATATGACAACTGTGTAGCTTTTACTGGAGATTCCATAAGAATGCACCAAATTTGAGGGTTAAGACTATTAAATAGAAGAGTTTCAAGTATAGGAGCCTAATTGCACTAGTATTTAAAGTTCAAGCGCTTATGGCATGCTTGGTAGGGAGGAATTGCAATTCCTTTCCCACTTAATTCCAAGAAGTGAAAAATTCCAGAGTTTGGTTGGGAGGAATTGCAAATCCCACCTCCCCCCTAGGAATTGCAATTCCATAACACATGGGAAGAAATTTTGGAGTGTGAGGACCATATTGCCCCTCCCTAATAATCCTACATCTTTCCCTAGGAATTGCAATTACAAGGGCATTTTGGTCTTTATACTACTTATTCCCTTTCAATTCCTATATATACCAAACACTATAATTGAAATTCCCAGGTATTCTATTCCTGCCTACCAAACAATGGAATTTGAATTCCTACTTTATTCCCACATTATTCCTTTCGCACGGAATTATAATTCCTTTCCCCCCCTAATTCCCTCCCTTGCAACCAAAAGGCCTATTATTTAACTATGAAAAAACATATAGGAGCCTAATTGCACTAGTATTCAATTCCCTCCAAGCAATTTAATGTTACATGTTAAAGAATTAGGTAGGAAAAGAATTTCAATTCCTTCCAACCAAACAGCCAGTAATAGTAGCTGTCAATGAAGCTCACATGCAAAACTGCATGATCCCCTATGTATGTACCTACCTATCTCAATAGCTTTAATGAGTAACAGGTACCATATTTTGCTCATTACACTTTGTTGTTAGCCTACATACAGGAGCAACACATTTTCAAACAATATAAATGCATTCAAGTACAGTAGTTAATCAATGTATATCCACTCCCCCACCCACTGTTCTCAGAAAAAGTAAAGGAAAAAAAACAAATGTAAAAGTAAAAAGGAAATAAAGGAAACAAGACCGTAACAAGCATACCTAGCTAAAATCCTTTTCTATCTTCAAACTTTCAAAGCGACTAATCAATGATTTCAAGATATGATATATAGATAACACTTCTTGCCTTTACTACAAGCATTATTCTTTATCAAGACACCTTTTTATCAAACCTCTAACCACTCTAACCAGCTTGGTTGGCGTGAGTGGGCGTGCACTCTCATCCATTAAGAGAGGTCAGGAGTTCGAACCCCCTCTCGTATGGAAAAACCAATCTGGCCAGCACTTTGCCCCTTAATTGGGCCGGCCCAGTGCGAATGGGGATTAGTCTAAGTATGGTACGGGCGTAAAAGAGCCTCCTACAGTTAGAGTCTGCTCAGGACAACTCATGGCTTGACCAAAAAAACCTCTAACCACTCTACAACTCACATTTCACTACATAATATGAAAATAAATAAATAACTAAATAGAAGTACTGAACTAATACCTATATGGTATGTGTTTGTGTGTATGAAGATCTCTATACTTTTTGGCAAGACCATAGTCAATGATGTAAACCTGTTACAAAGAAAAATGGATTCACAAAGCGAATCATTGAAATGTAGCACTGCAACAGATATCATTTGATGCAGAAAGCCTTAGTTTAAGCATACAAACTTTTAAGCACAAACCAATATATTGTTCTTCAATAAGCATCAAAATCTTGAAAACCACCATAGCATATTTAAAATAATAAAATCAAGATTATGTTATTTAGGAGGAAAAAACAAATCCTTGATAAGTTTGGCAGATTTTCATATTAAACAATGAGGCAGTAAAAGGTTTCACATCAAACATAAAAGTCGAGAGCCTTATGCAGCTTATTCTTGTCATTTTGCTTCCTTCTAGTCGAACAATAACAATAACAATAGAACTCATTATGTAACTTAAATGTATGATTTAAAGTTCAAAATTTGGAAGAAACAATAACAAACATGGCAAGGTATTATAATGACCATCAGAATATTCACCTCATGTAAACACCGAAACAATATGTTCAATGCCAGTTGCTAAAGTTTTAATGAATGTACAAAAACATTAGTGATTTAAATTTAAAAAGTGGCCAAAAAAAATATGAAAGAATAAAAACATCTAAAATTTTGAAACATCACATAAATTATTGATGATTTTAGCATCTGGCAGTGGCAGAAAGTTTAAAAACAAAAAGACCAAAATGATGAGAAAAGAAGATTGCATCCAAACATCTGTAAATATGAGAATAAGGTAAAAATACATTAAAAATGCGCACCTGATTTGCTTTACGCCCTAAACCCATTAAGAAGTTGTCAGGTTTTATGTCACGATGGAGAAATCCTCTTGCGTGCATATATTCAACCCTATTAAGCTACACACAACAATAAGGCCTGAACATGCCACCTAAATAAATAATAACGTGAACATCACTTTATAGTTGTGCATACTTACGAATTGATCTGCAAGCATTAGAACTGTTTTCAAGGTGAACTTCCTATTGCAATAGTTAAACAAGTCTTCCAAGCTTGGGCCAAGAAGGTCAATAACCATGGCATTGTATTCTCCTTCAACTCCAAAGTACCTGAGATGGGGAATTCCCGCTTACAGAAGAAAAAAAAAATACAACACGAATCAGCTCAAAAGTACCACAAAGAAAGAAAGAATGAAACAACTGCTACTTACTTCCACCCTGTAAAAGCATATAGATCTTTGATTCATAATGAAGCTGAGGGTGCTTAGTTTTTATTGATTCCTGGGAAACTAAAAAGTTAGATTATGAAAGATATCCATAATGAATTCAGCACAAAATCTAAACATCAATTGAACTAGGAAAATATCATACAAAATCATATTGTAATTATAGCTATAACTAAATCCTTAAAAACTCACCAGCTTCACAGCAACTTCTTCTCCAGTTTGTGCATTTACTCCTGGAACAAAAAAACATATTTCACCAACAGAATAATTTGAGGAAAAAAAAAAAAAAAAAAAACCAACAAAAGGAGTGCAAAAATTACCCAAATAAAGCTCCCCAAAAGATCCGCTACCTATCTTCCTGCCCAACTTAAACTTTCCACCAACGATATGATCCATATTCAATTTCCCAAACCAAAATTAACCCTTCCACAAACTCAAAATAAAAAATATCCTACAAAAGGATAATCTTCCTTGGTTTTCCGCTTAACCCAATTCCACATTCACAAATAACATATCATCGAAAACCCAAATCTTGAAATCACCTCCAGATCCAGAAAAATGCCAATAATCGGAAAGAAAAAAAAAAAAAATTCCCAAAACGTCTCTCTAATTTGTCTAAAATAAATTAAACATCAAAGTACCAAACCATTACCAATCCTTCAATACCCGTATAATACAACAAAATGCCTATCACTTGGGGAAAAATATAATAAAATAAAAGAATGAGTTAATAATGTAAAGGAGACCCAAGGATTCCAGTTATCAAGAAATAGCTTAAATCTGGGTCTAATCGAAGGAGAGGAATGTAGAAATGGAGAAACGAGTTGGGTTGGTTATACAGACAGGAAAAATAGAAGAGAATTGAAAGGGAAAATCAATTCTCCGTACATATATATACAGTATTTATATCTAATGATAATATACAGAGAGATGAAAATGAGAAGAAAGGTTAGAGAAAGAATCCAAGGTAACGAAATCCGAGGGGAAATTATGGGAATTGATTCTTAACAGAGATGGTTTTGTGTGTAAGAAGAAATGAGGGAGAGAGAGAGAGAATAGGAAGCAGAAATAGAAATGATACAAGGTTAAATCATAAATGGTGTTGTAGAATGTAGATTATGTACTTTTGGGCATTTTGCCCTTTCCGGGTTTACGAATTGCCCCACCAAGACCAAACTTCACATGGGCCTCAGCCCCAAGTATTGGAATCATTCATTACCTCCTAGAATCAATCACTTTACATTAAAGTTGAACAAAAGGAAGTAGTTATTTGTTTTTACGGATTTAGCTCACTGGTTTAGTTGATAGTATTTAAGGCAATAGATTAAGGTTTAAAATTCGAGAATGATAATGTAAAAATTATGTTCAAAGGGACAGATTATTTGTACACACCAACATAATTAGGTTATTGTGGTTTGGAAGACCTTGTGGTCTAATGGCACCCGGATTGGACTCCCATATGAGAGGTTGTGAGTTCGAGCTTCAGTGTGGAGGCGTTGACCCGAATTGTAATAGAGTCAGTAGCATTCAAAAAAAAAGAAAAAAAAACTATTGGGACCCACACGAAAAAGTAGTTTATTAGTGTCCGCCACATCATGAAGAAATTTAGAGAGTAAGATTTGGGAGTCCATGTAGTAGAACTACCGTGGTTTACATCCCCTCTCAAATGTTTTGTAGTAGAACTACCGTGGTTTACATCCCCTCTCAAATGTTTTGTGGAGCCTTGGAGTTGGAGATTTAACCTTTTGAGACAAAAGGAAGTAGCTATTTTAAATATGACTTTTTATGTGTTTATTTTTAAAAAAAATTGTGAATATATAATTTATTAGAATTTTAATTAACTAATGTTTCATAAAGAAATTTACCTTGAAATTGTATGAACTTCCTTCCCTTAAATCACTCTCTACCATCACTTTCCAACATGTAATTGTTGTATGGAATTCTTCTCTCCTTTTTCTTTTTATTAATGTATAGATTCATTTTTAAATATATAAAGTTATAAACAAGTCTTTGAATTTTTCATAGAAAAAAAAAATATTTAAAAGTGTGAATGTTTCTTTTCTTTTTTGAAGGCTAAAAGTGTGAATGTTTCAATTCGCTAGTTTTGAACTCTACAAATTTGTGTGTGTTCCTAGTCAATGCATAGTTAACAACGTCAAGAATAACAAAAGAGAATAAATAATTTCGATTGCTAGTCGTCCCACGTCTACTATACTAATAAGAGCCCAAGAGAGTTAGGCCTATAATGAGTAGAAAAAATGGCGGTCACAGATTTTAATCAAATGAATGGTTCAGATTGATTAAAAGATTGATCAGATTTAAATTTTACACTAAAAGAAATAATTTTATTAGTTATATTGTCTTTATTTTTCTTCAATATAAAAATTCTTTATATTCAAATTTATTAATTGATTATATTCGCTAAATTGTCCTTACAATGTCTTTATTCAGTGAAAAAAAATTATTAATTATCAATAAATTAATTAAAAGAAATATTTTCATTAGTTATATTGTCTTTTTTTTTTTTTTTTTTTGAAAATCATTAGTTATATTGTCTTAATTTTTCTCAAATGTAAAAATTTTTACATTCAAATTCATCAATTGATTATATTCACTACATTATCTATTATCTTTTTTGTGCACTATTTTTCTAATTAAATATCAAAGTTATAATACAAAATAATGCTATATATTTATTTACCAAGTATTTTATTAATACCATGAAAAATTAAAAAAATATAATTAATAAAGCCAACCATATTAACTACTTGAAAGATTTTGTAACAAAGAGAGTATTCAGATTACACAACAAATTGAAGTGAGAACACCTCGCAATGTCCTTGTTTGACAATCAGCAGTTAACGGTTAGCGTTAGCGGATTTGATCAGCAAATTTATTTAATTATTAACATTGGGTAGAAAAAATGACCGCCAAATTATTAAATCAAATGAATGGTTCATATTGTTCAGGTTTTAATTTTTTTCTTTTATGATTTTCTAATTTATCCTTAATTATATGATTATCCATTTAACTTTTCCGTTAATCACTGTTAGTTTAATTCTAATATTAAAGTCTAATATAGAATTATAACTACACCATTAATCTAATTCTAATAACTACACCATTAATCTAATTCTAATATTAAAGTCTTAATAGAACTTAACCACAAATCCTAATGTTGGAATCTCCTCAAACAATATTAGTATATATATATTTAATATTTTATGCCCTAATTTTTATTTGTTCTCCCTTATGTCCCGTATTTGGTTTCAACTATACCTATACAATTATTTTATTGACAATTATAATCAATCTTGACTATATTATCTTGCATTTGTAAACTTAGAATTACCTATTTAACTCGCACATGCTTAGCTCAATGGTTTAGTGGGTAGTATTTGGGAGAAGAGACCAAGGTTTGAACCTCGGCGGCGGCAGTGCGGGAATTATGTCCAAAGTGGGCAGATTCCTTGTGCGTATCAGCATTTGGCCCTGTCTGCTGAACCATTGAGTCACCGTGATTTACAACTTCCCACAATGCTCTGTCGGGTCGGAGTGTGGGGGGTCCTTGGGGTTGGGGACTCAACCTTTGAGAGAATAGTTACCTATTTAAATACGCAAATTCAACCTTTAATTATCTATGCATGAACAATTTCAATATAATCCTGCCTTAATATACTTTAAAGTACTTATTTAACAAAAAATCATTGGGCATTATCCTAATCGCGCAATGCGCGTAAAAAACTAGTCAACAACATAAAGGGGGAGAGTAAAAAACTAGTCAACAACATAAAGGGGGAGAGCAAAGAGCTCTCCAAATAATTTGGGAGGCCCATCTTCACAATTTGCAATCGTTATGCCGTGAAACCGTGTCTACATGGTAAGGTGAACACGGTTCTATGTTTATAATTTCTGAATTATATGTTTATAATTATAAAGTTATATTTCATAACTTTTTTAACTTCATATTCATAATTATTGAATTCTATATTCACAATTACAGAACTATATGTTCATAATTACTGAACTATATATTCATAATTATAAAGTTATATATTCATAATTTTTAAACTTCATATTCACAATTATTAAATCTCTATATTCATAAATACAGAACTATATGTGCATAATTATGTTCACAGCTCTATGTTCATAATTATAGAACTATATTTCATAACTTTTGAATTATAATTATGAACAGTTTTGAAATGATGTCCACCTTACAAGGTGGACATAGTTCCACGGCATAATTTGCCCACAATTTGTTTAATTTTAATTATTATTTATATTTGATTACTTTAGATGTTACATTTTATTATTCAGACTAACTTTTCTTCATTTGCTCGTTTTTATTAATTTTTTTTATATAATTTTTAAAGTTATTTTTTTTTATATTTAATGGGGCATTTAGTAGGATGGAGTTGTAATTCCATTCTTATTAAACTCCATGAAATTGCAATTTCATGGTTTGGTTGGAAAGAATTGCAATTCCCTCCAACCATGGAATTGCAATTCCTAAAGTCCCCATAGGAATTGCAATTTCATACTTTGTGTTATTGTAATTCTATGCTAAATTATCATTTTACCCTCATTATTATTATTATATTAATATTATGTAATGACATTTTAATATTTATTCACTTCTTTCCTCTCAATTCTCAATCATACTATTCTTTCTTATCAAACAATGCAATTTAAATTTCGACTTCATTCTTTTTCACAGAATTACAATTTATTTCTTCCATAATTTCCTCCTTCCAAGTTCCAACCAAACGCCCTGCAATAGCATCTTTTAATGTTCTTACTAACTTTCTATACACACATACATCTACATCTACAAATCTAATAAGAGCGAATAATGTTAGGCCCTTAACTGGAACAAAAAAATGTCGGTACTAATTGTTTCTTAAAATGAATGGTTCATATTATTTTGATTTTAGTATCTTCTAATGATTTCCCTTATTTACCCTCTATTATATTGTTTTCTTCCCTTAAATAACCCTAAATTCCGTTAGTTTAAACTTTAGAAACGGAATATTCCGTTAACTATTTATTATTCTTAACATACTCTTAATTTATATTCACTACATTGTTCATTGTCTTCTTTTTTACATTATCTTGTAATTAAATATCAAAGTTATAATACAGAACAACATGTTATATATATATATATATATATATATATATATATATATATATATATATATATATATATATATATATATATATTTATTTATTTATTTATTTATTTATTTATTTATTTATTTATTTATTTACCAAGTATTTTATACAAATATAATAAATATTAATATAACTACTGGAAATGATTGAATTTCCGACCACCTGAAAGTGATCTTAAATCAAGTCGAAAGTAAAAAGTGGTCGGAAATAGCAACAAAAGTTTTTCCGGATACCAAAAGTGGTCGGAACAAGGCTTTCGACTTGATTTAAGATAACTTTCAAGTGGTCGGAAATTCCATAATTTCTAGTAGTGTATTTTGTTCAATATTTTCACATGATAACCTACGACACACATCTCACAACACATGAAACATGTAGGAAAAAAAACTACTACTACTAAATATCAATGGGTGTTTGTCCGCTAAAGAGTTCATATTACAACTAAAATCTCAGTCATATACACAGCAAGGCAAATCTAAAACTTCCTACACCATAATCTCATTGCATGATGAATCCCTCTATGCTGCTACCAGTAACCTAATTGCACATAACACACTATCAATTAAAAAAAAAAAGGACATGTACTGAAGATGAAAAAAATAACAATGCTACCCAAAAAAGAATTAAGAAAAAATTATAAAAATTTAAACCAAAAGTAGTATTTATTTAGACTATTGCTTTAAGACTAAGTATTTAGACTAGCGTTATTACAAAGTTGTAAACATTTATTTTAGTGACAATTATAATCAGTCTCTCATATATTATCTTGCATTTATATACTTTAAATTACTGATTTAAATAAATAAATTTAACATTTATTTACCTATGCATGAACATCTCCTATATAATATTGCACTGATATACATTGAAATAGTTATTTAAAAATAATTATTGGACATTATCTCATTCGCGCAAA